TTAAGGATATTAATCGTAAAATAAGACTTCGTCGCCAATGGAAAAAACATGGTGACATATATGTTTATAATTCTTTCTCCAGATTACGCTCGAATTATATATAATAAGTAATTTATAAAGAACCCCATTGAGTTAGCCTACAAATCAAACATAATATTTATCGAAAACGGCATTAAGACTGACCCAAAAATATTATGACAGCACATTGGTAACCTAAAATCCAAGGGCGGTTTCGTCCCGAAGTGACCTATAAAGACAAATAATTCTCCTGCAACGAAGCAGCCGATGCATTTGTGCGCTATTTTACAAGTGTATTCCTGTCGAACAACCCCATTCTAGATCCCAATCAAGTAACTATCTCTAACATCGCATGGGGCAATATACACAACTTTACACAATCGGAAGTCAAAGCAGGTATCAACAAATTAAAACCCGGTAATTCTGTTGGTCCCGACAAGTCCCTTATATATTAAAAAGATGTAAGGAACATATTGCGCATTCCCTTTGTCATATATATAACCTGGTTCTGCACAGTGGCACTTATCTTGAACAGTGGAAGCTATCTCGTGTCAACGCCATTCCAAAAACTAGTAACAGGTTCTCTGTTGAAGATTATCGATCCATTGCGATTCTGTCATCCCCTGCCAAGGTCTTTGAACATATTGTACATAAGGTTATTTACGAACAGTTAAAATCCTATTTATGCGACGAACAATAAAGTTTTCGACCTGGTCGCTCAGTAGAGACTAATCTTCTTTCACTTGTGGATTACATTTCGCAGAGTCTAGATAAATGTAGGCAGGTAGATGTGCTATACCTCGATTTTACAAAGGCGTTTGTTAAAATGAACAATGACATACTGTTATTAAAGTTATGCCTTATGGGATTGACGCTGAAACTATTATCCCTTTTTTCAAGTTACCTTCGCAACCAACGCCAATATGTTACCCATGGTTGTTTCCTATCTCAGTCATACCATACTCACTCCGCAGTTAGGGATCGGTAATCGGACCACTCCTATTTTTTGTTATGTTAAACGCTCTTGTTAGCGCCGTTAAACGTGCTAAATGCTTACTTTACGCAGACGATTTAAAACTGGTAGTCGAAATAAATGTAAATGTCAATCACAGTCATTTCCAAAGTGATACTGATCGAGTTCACAAGTGGAGTATTGACAGTAAAATGTTTTTCAACACGAGTAAGTATTATTATATGACCTTTAGTCGCAAATTACTGCCTCTACAAGCCACCTATACTTTAGGAGATACTATACTGACGCAAGTGACAAACATAAAAGATCTTGGTGCGACTTTTGATTGTAGTTTAACTTTTCATGCACGTATATCCACCTCGGCTTTCGACTGTTATAAACGCCTCGGATTCGTTTTGCGCAATACCTGCGAGTTACAAAATACAGGAGTAATCAAACAATTATTTAACACCTTAGTGAGAAGTAAATTGGAATCAGCGGTATGTATTTCGAATTCTTATGAGTCTAAGTATGTTCTGACCATCGAAAAAGTTCAAAGGCCTTCTTACGCTTCCATTATAAAAGAAATTACGGATACTACTCGTTCTTATATCCCACACAATTTCTGTTGGGTACCTTAGGGTATAATTCTCTTGCAGTTCGTCGTTCTCGCAACCTACTTATCATTGCACATAAAATTTTAAGAGGCGTAATAGATGCCCTTGAACTTGAAGAGATAAACTTGAGCATGGGTGCTCAGGCTGATCCGCGTATTCTGGGGGGGGGGGGGGGACAAAATTCCGCTCAACACTACAACTGCTTGGGGCAAACGGAGCAACAAGACCAAGGCGGCCCCTGCCACGCTGTCCGTGAATTTCTGCAATATCAGGGGACTTCAGTCTAACCTAAACGCCGTCCACTACCATCTCGTGACGGCGAGGCCGGCTCTGCTCTTTCTGACCGAGACGCAGGTGTCCTCTCCGGCTGATGTCTTGTATCTCTCCTACCCGGGGTACAAACTTCAACAACACCAACACTCCTTTGTGCCTCGGGCTGGAGTTTGCGTTTACGTCAGAGAGGACATCGGTTCTCGACGCCTCGGCAGTCTTGAAGGTTCGGACCTGTCCATCCTTTGGCTACGCGTAGACAGCGACGACCATCCGCGCGTCTACGGGTGCCTCTATAGGTCCCACAGCGGTAATTCCGAAACAGACTGTCTCTTCGACCACGTCCAAATGGCTACAGATTCGTTGCTACAGCAGATCCCCTCCGCAGCGATCGTGATCCTCGGCGAATTTAACGCCCCCATCACGCCCCACCGAATGGCTTGGTTCACGTTTAACCGATCATGTGGGGAGATCTGTTCATGATTTTGCATTGGTATATGGTCTGACACAACTGGTTACTTCGCCTACGCGGATTCCAAATGTGGTGGGTCATGCACCTTCCCTGTTGGACCTTCTGCTGACCTCTCACCAGGACGGATATCAGATTTCCGTCGACGCCCCTTTAGACTCCTCGGACCATTGTCTTGTCCGGAGTGTGGTGCCACTCACGCTGAAATCGCAGTTGCATTCTGCAGGCTGCCACCGTGTTTGGCACTATAGGGCATGGGATGCGGTCTTCCTTTGCATCCTACCCTTAGGGGCGGGTTTGCTTCTCGCCGAACGATCCCAACGTTGTTGCGGATTCTGTCGCTGATGTGGTACTTCAGGGTATGGAACTTTTTATTCCTTCCTCTGTGGTGCCCATTGGAGGCAAATCTCAGCCGTGGTTTGGTCGCTCCTGTAAAATAGCATCATGCTATAAGCAGGAGTGCTACCAAGCCTGGGCTGACGCATCAATGTTCCGGGATGTAAACACCAGAGCTCTAAAAAAGAAGTATAATTCCGCCTCTAGGTCCCTCAAAAGAGTCATTGCCAAGGCAAAGTCAGAGCACATAGGCAGAATTGGCGAGAAACTAGTTTGCCGTCCTTTTGGAACCCGTGCATTCTGTCTCTCGCCAAGGCTGTCCAGGGGAATTTCTGTCAGCCATCTCTTCCATCTCTGCACAGGGAGGATGACTCACTGACACATATCGCAAAGGAGAAAGCCGATCTTCTAGGCTCTTTCTTTGCGTTCAACTCGACTCTCGATGACGGGGGGAGTACGCCGCCGACCATCCCGCGGTGTGAGTGCTCCATGCCGGAAGTGCAGTTCACACAGTGCTCGGTTCGCAAAGCACTCCTCAAGTGAGTAAGAAAGTGGTGTTTTCAACTTATTTACGATTTTGAGAAAGTAATGATATATAATTTGTATTTGTTCTCTTAGCATAGTTTATACTCATGTGCCTTTCCAAATTATTAATTACTGTAATTTAATTAAAAACCGTTGCAAATAAATAAATAAACAAAAGTTTTAATAACAGTGACGCATAAATAAAAACTCATCAAACGCTGTTTATGAAAAACAAAAGGCTGGTGCTTTACCTCAGGCTAGCCATTGGTTTCTATCATTTCATCGTGTATGACCAAGCCGCGTTGGAAAAAACAACAAAAAACAATTAGTAGCCGTAATTATAAAAACAATAAATAAACTTTTAAATACACCTTTATTTGATTTATAATTTATATTATATTTAGGTATATTTAGGTATATTATATTTAGGTTAAAATAATGTTTACATCAATTATAATAAAAAATAATTAATTTTATTTCGATTCTAAAAATAAAATTAATTCTATTTTAAATTGTACATAACTTAAAAATATTTTTATGATTATAGAAATTAGTAAGCCTGAAAAGTATGAAAACGCGTGCATTGGTTTTTCTTTACTGCTTTGTTTTATTTTAGTCTAAAATGCGACTTATTACGAAATAATGTTCTTATATAGCACGCGATCTATCCAATGAACGACATGTAATATAATGTGCAAAGAAAAATAACGTGCTGTAAAACTTAACGCGCTTACCGGCCTCCTACACGCTTTCTTATAAATAGCGCGCTATAACATAGCGTATTTAATAGCGCGCTAGAAATTTATAGTTTATAGTCTGTAGCGTGCTATTGATTTATAGTTGTTTTGAACAACTTTAGCTACTTCCCTCCGGTACGCCGGTGGCCCGTGTTGCCCTATGGCTTTAAGATAATATTATGTTAAATTCGTAAAACATTTAAAACGTGGTTTGGTTACTGCTACCGCGTTTGGTCACGTTTTTTGATACAATATATTTTATTGTGATTTTTTTTTTCAAAAATTATGTTTAAAAATTTAAAATAATTTACGCACGCATTTTAATATTTAGGTATTTGGTACACCGTTACTGCCATAATAATACCACAAAAATATTATGTGTGGAACAACCCATTGCCCCAGTTAAGGGGCTGCCGTTTCAAAAGCTTGACTGCAGATTATTTCTATTTTCCGAAAGTTCAATACCACAGTGGTCGTAACATTAAAAAAGTAGGCAATAGTATAATTTACAACAAGGTAATTTTGTGGACAAAGTACAAATCAGATTAGGCTGTATGGCCTAAGAATTTTAACTGTTCTAATTGGAGAATCGTAACAATAACAATTGTCAAATCAAATCTTGCTACATATTTATTTATCTATGAATCAAATGTTCAAACCAAACTTCAAAAATTCATTGGGTAAACTTTTTTACGTTTTATTCATATCGTTGGAAATTGAATGAAATCTATAATTAAATTTAATGAAAATTCTTTTAAAACTATAACTAATAGTAGTTACAGGTAGTTAAACATCTTCCTGTTTCTTTTCTGGTATATTCATATTCGAATAGTAACTGTTACTTTTAGGTGTGGCAGGATCATAATTCTTGTTACAAACGATATACTCATAATTCCATAGAATTTCTTTGTAACATTTCAATATGAACTTCAAATTTCAGATTAAGTTCACTTAAAAAGTAAGCAGACTACTGAGAAAAAGGGAAAATGCCATTGTTAGAATCATGTTGGTCTCCGTGTATTTGGTCTTCGACTGTGAAATCAGGCTGCAGAGCTGTTGCAGTGTACACAGCTGCGATGAGCTTAATATTAATAATATTTATAGCCTACCAAATGGATGGCGGAGACTCCACACAACTTTGGAATCCATTGTTTGAAGCTGATGTTAGAGGATGTAAGTCTTTTAAATATCCTTGACTCCATTCAGTACCATGAGTGTTGAAGTGTAGAAGTCTAATGAAATAAAAGCCTACATGATCAAATATTAGTTATTAAAGTTATATTATTTTACACTTATGTAATTTTTTTATAGTGGTGTCTCAAACGGTTTTAACAAAGCAACAACATCACAGTACTTTTGTAAGCTATCTCTGTGTGTATCTGTTCAAAAGATAGATATCGTATTATATAGCCACAAGTGCTAACAGAAAGTTTTGACATGTTTATTTCTGAATTTCAATTAGGATTATTCTGATTTCCATTACAAGCAATTTTACAGTAGGTTCAAAAAGTGACTGTCAAACTATTTTATAAAACAAAATACTTCTAGAACTTAAAAACCGCTTAAATTTTATTTTTTATTGTAAGTCATCTTAAATTGAGGCTGAAGGCATTGCAGTTACGGGTTGGGTTTACAATTCGGTTGCCTAAATTTGAAGATTCTACTCACTCTCAAGAGTCAGTGTGGGGGGGGGGTTAAGGGGGGTGTATCTGAAGCACTGTTATTTGCTGCCGGAGCAGCGTCAAAGTATTTTTAATTATTATTTAAAAACATTGGTAAATGACTAATTAATTACGTTTTTGACGTTTCATCTGTCAATGTCATATCGATATATAGTACTGAATCGATATTTCACCCTAGAGAATCGAGATCAAAACTTTTTCTGTTTTATTAAGATTTGTAAAATTATTTACAATTAGTTGAATATACCCTAACTCGTAAAGAATGACGATTTTTAATTCAATCATTCAATGTTATCTGTACTTTATTGTATCTTTTGATATTGTAAATATAAACTTTTAAAGCAAATCAAAAAAAGATTGATTTTTGCGAAATCTATCCTTATGATATTGATTTTTTGTGAATCGATTCAATGAATTTCAATTTGAATCAATTTAAAAATGTGTAAAATTAATCGTTAGGCCTGCCATTTTGTTGACAGTTTTTCGTCATGCCGTTGCTTCAGAGTTTCATAATTTTGGTGAATAGTGGAATATTTGTGGCGGTGGCATACTGCTAAATATCGCAAAGATCCTTTCTTACAAATGATGGCAGCCATAAATTATGTTTATAAATTAAAGTAGTTATAAAATGTTTTGGTGTTATATTGGGTGCAATAGCGAGCGAACCGAGCCTAGGACCACTCAGAAGTAGGAGCCCCATGCAGCGGGGCTCCGCTTACGACCGGGCTTCCCTCGGCTGCACTACACAAAACTAAATAAAAAAAAGTAGAAAATAAAGTTAAGTGGTGTGGGGCTTCCGTCCCCCAACTCTCTCTCCCCATAAATCAGGTTAAAATTGTCATAAAAATTACGAAACATAACCTCAAAATAGATTTTTAAAAATTTATAAAAAAAAAAACTAAGCACGTCCGGCAGGAAGGGGAAGTGGGGGGGTGACTACAACTCCTCCCCCTCCCCCCACATCACCCCCACCCCCTAATTCAGGCGACCGCTTTTTATGAAATTTTTGTGTGTTAGACTGGGTCCATAGATGGTTTAGAATCATATTTGGACAGGTTAGGTGGTGTTGACGAGATCCAGAAATCGCCCATGAGAAACCGATTGATTGCTAGTTAAACTAATTATATAAACCAACCAGTTTCATTTTAAGGCATCATCAGGGTATATAGGAATAACAAACATATACAAACATACCTGCAATGCTTGTATATTTAATAATTTTTATTAGTTTTATAATAATTTTTAAAATTAATATTGTGAAACTGGTAGAAATATTTAAACAAATCAGAAAAAGTAATAGTTTGTAAAAAAACTGTTTATACATGCACCTTCTAAGTAATAAAACTGATTATCATGGAAAAACAATGTTTCTTGTATATAGGCATCAGGCATGAAACTAACAATTCCTTGTTTTCAGCTTTACAGGTTTTTGGCATAATCTTCATCCTAATTCTCATTATTCTCATTGTGTCCTCAGTGTTAATGGCAAGTATTCAAGTATTTTAAATGAAACATATTTCTGTGTATCAAATTTTAGTTCACATCTTTACTCTATTTTCAAATGCCTTGTTCCAAACTGTAACCTTTTTTAGTCATTTAATCTAACTTTTTTATTTCCATTTCCAGGTCATAGGAATTGACATTTGGATGAGAGGCTATATATTGCCATGGCTTATTACTATGGGAATCATAATATTGTTTCAGTTTATTTTTGGTTTATGGCTCCTTGGCGGATACTACATTTATGTAAGTAATTTTAAAATGTTATAACAAAGGAATTCAAAAAACTTATATATTGGTGATTTTACAAAGGCACAGAATCAATAATAGTTCTACAAATCAAAGGAGCGCAACTTCTGTAAAGTTGCACTCGTTTGATGTTGACTGCTTGCCGAAATTTAGTAGCCTACATTATTATTATTAATAAGATAAATTGCACATGCAAGCTAAATAAAACTTTATAGCTGCATGCGAGTGTCCATATTACTTTGCATATTTCCCCCCTCCTAAGTCAATGTCAACAAAGAGTAAAAAAATGCATTGTGAAATGTTAATCAAGTTACTCAGGTGAAGTACCTATTATGACTATGATCGACTGACCATATTTTCGCACCTATGTGAGTTCTGCAATGCCCAACGTGTTTAACTTGCAAGGCCATTCGTAGGGAATCTTTGCTAGGAAGTAACAGCAAATAAAGCAAAATACGATTCCTAACAGAAATGTGATCATATTCTACTTAGTTAAAATCTTGTAAGTAAACAAAGTTTTAATTTCAGTATTTTGTGTCATTATAACTTAAAATTGTTTAATTACAAGAGACAGATATAGGTATGTAAGTAGATACTTGTGTAGTTAAGTAAATTTCAACTAAGTTTTGTAATAATTAATAAAGTACGTAGTTATTACTTCTGTAGATAAATTAAGTACCTAAAAATGAAATAAATTCACCTATCATAACTTCCTACTAAAATCCTTCGGCAACTTAAAGAATGATATATCCTCCTCGCCCTTTTACTCCGCATCTGCTGAATTTCTTTTTCTTGAAGTATGTGTGAAGGGAGCTAAAACCGTTCTTGGTGTTTTATATTGTCCCCCCTCTGTTGATTACTTCTCCAGTCTCGAAACGATTCTGGAATCTTTAGGGTCAGAATACTCACATCACATCATCATGGGTGATTTTAATACAAATCTCCTGGCTCCGCACTCATCCCGTTCCTATAAGTTCCTTCAAATAATCGAGTCGGTTGGCCTTCATGTTCTACCTCTACAAGCCACTCACCACAATGCGGACGGGGAGGACACATGGCTCGATTTAATGCTAACATCAAACCCCACCTTTGTCTCTACTCATGGTCAACATTATGCGTCTGGTTTCTCCCATCATGATCTCATTTTCCTTTCCTATATTCTGAAACCTCCTAAGCCCTCGCCTAAAATCCTGCACTTGCGTAGTTTTGGCCGTATGGATGTAGAGAAGTTGTGTCAGGATGCTTCTAAAATTAACTGGGACACAGTGACAGCCGCTCCCACGGTAGACGAAAAAGTTAGCGCATTTAATAACATATTAATTAATCTGTATAATATGCATGCTCCTATTAAAAAAGTAAAGCTAAAGCGGCTGCCAGCACCTTGGATGACAACAGAGATCCGCGTTGTGATGAGGCGTAGAGACCGAGCCTTTCAGAAATATAGAAAAAAAGCGGTGTGAGGAAAATTGGTCCATTTTTAAAACTGCAAGAAATCGGTGTAACCAGATGATACGCAACGCAAAACGCCGATATATTCTTAACAACATCATATCCTCTTCCCCCGCAGATATCTGGAAGTTCCTTGGAACCATGGGTATTGGTAAGAAGTCCCATTCTGAGTTTCAGAGGACAATTGGTTTGGATGATATCAATCAACACTTCTCTTCACATACACCTCTGGATCACCAAACCAATTGTCAAACTGTTAATCAGATAATGGGTTTACCTCGTCCTAATATCGCTCCTTTCTGCTTCTCTCCAATAGCTACGAATGAGATCAGGAAGGTTATACTCTCCATTAAGTCTAATGCTATTGGTTGTGACAGTCGCCGTATGATTATTAATATTGTAGATCATCTCCTCCCTGCTATTTCCCATATAATTAACTTCTCTCTGGATTCTGGAGTTTTTCCGTCGCTGTGGCGTAAAGCTTACATTATACCTCTCCCAAAAATTTCTAATCCTTCTTTACCTAATCACTTCCGACCTATATCCATTCTTCCCTTTTTATCAAAGGTGCTAGAGGCTTGTGTACACAAACAGCTATCACATTTTATCTTCTCGAATAACCTGTTAAGCTCATTACAGTCTGGTTTCAGGCCGGGTCATAGCACTGTTTCCGCGCTCCTCAAAGTCACTAGTGACATTAGGGCAGGCATGGAGGAAACTAAAGTCACAGTACTGGTTTTGGTTGACTTCTCTAACGCCTTTAATGCCATCAGTCACGACATCCTATTATCAATCCTTTCACTTTCTATGATCTCATCTGAGGCTTTGGAGTGGTTCTCATCTTATATTCGAGGCCGCCAGCAGTCAGTTCGCATTGACGAGTCCTCATCAAGTTGGTGTGACTTGCATGCTGGTGTTCCTCAAGGCGGTATTCTATCTTCATTGTTATTTTCGATATTTATAAATCTCATTACCCCAAATCTTCAGTGTGCGTATCATTTGTATGCTGATGACTTGCAGTTGTACTCACACGCGAAGGTCGACTGTATATCTACAGCAATTGAGTCTCTTAATAGGGACCTAGAGTATATAAAGAACTGGTCTGATAAGTTTGGTCTTAAAGTTAACCCATCCAAATGTCAGGCTATAATAATAGGTAGCCAACGGATGATAAAGAAACTGGATCCCACAGCTTTACCACCGATCATTTTTAGCGGTTTTATTTTAGAACTGAGTAATTCGGTGAAAGACCTTGGATTGCACATTGACTCCACCTTGAGCTGGCAAACTCAAGAGTCAAATGTTTGTCAGAAAGTGTCGGGTATTTTGCGTTCTCTCTACCGCCTGAAGAACTTTCTCCCGTCCAGGACCAAGACGATTATTGTGCAGACCTTAATTTTTCCCATTTTTGACTATGGTGATGTGTGTTATTTTGACCTGAATGCAGAACTCTTGAACAAATATGACCGTCTTCTTAATAACTGCATTCGATTCATTTTTAATCTTCGAAAGTATGATCATGTGTCTACTTATCGCTCTCAACTCAACTGGTTACCCATTCGTCAGCGCCGTAGTCTACGTGCACTCACTACTCTTTACTCTATCTTGATGTCTCCTAATCCTCCATCTTATTTAACTCCTCATTTTCAATATCTTAGCTCCAATCATGATAGAGTTCTCCGTTCTAGTAATAACCTTTTGCTTCAGTGCCCCCCTTTTAGTACTTACTTTGTTCAATCATCGTTCTTTGTTCAATCTGTTCTTCTTTGGAACGCTCTGCCTTCCGAAATCAGGAGTGCCGAAAACCGGATTACGTTCAAGTCTAAAGTGCGAGAAATGCTCGTCAATAAAATGGCAGAATCAACTTAGCGTTCGTAGTTAGCAGTATTTAATATTATATTTAATATATATGTGTGTGTGTGTGTGTATGTATCAGGGATGTTGCGGATGCCGATTTTTTCACATCCGCGGATGTGAATGCGGAAGCGGATTTTTGAAGGTTCACATCCGCGGATGCGGATGCGGATGCGGATGTTTAAGATATTATATAAATATAGTGTATGAATGAAAAATTAAAACAATGATAAAGTAATTATTAACATTTTTATTAATGAAAATTAGTATTAAGTATAATTCTGCAATTTTTATTTAAGTATTTCACTTACTAATTTTCATATTAGTTAGTGAACCTAATGATAAAGTAATTATCAACATTTTTATTAATGAAAATCAGTATTAAGTGTAATGCTTCTATATTTTTTAACTTCACTTACTAAGTTTCATATTAATAAGTGAAGTTAAAAATACTTAATAACGAATTATACTGCCGCCTTTTCTGATTCAAGGAGGTTACGCAGAGGTTTGTAAATTAAACTTGCGCTACTAAATAATTGTTCGCTAGGAACACTGCCTGATGGAGTGAATAAAAATCTTCGTGCTATCGGTGGTAATATCTTAAATTCCTCTCGATGAACACTTTACCACTTAAGAGGATTTTCATCCACATTGAGTCTTTTTTTAGCACGGTATGAAAGTAATTCCTTTTTGAGTACAGCTTCAGTGCTACCATTTCCTGGTACTTCTTGACTCTCATCTTCACTTGACGAATCTAAATCTAAATGTAAACAAATCGTAAAAACAGTTCTTTTGAGGTCGCTTTTACAATTTAAACCTATTGTGATTATTATCATAGCAAAATGTGATTATTTATCACAAATATAAAAATTTATTAAAGATATAAAATTTTTTAGTGTTTAACATTAATTAATAAGTATAAAATTTAAATTACGACAAAAATAAAACAAATAACTAACCGACATTTACAAAGAAACTAAAAAACGAAAGGAACGAGTATTTCTTAATTTGGTCGGATTGTACAAGCCAGGTTTGTTTGTTTAAATTCTATTTTTTCGTAAAATGGGAAGGATTAAGTATCAAGACAGCTACGACTAAAGAAATGTTAAAAACGACATCACTACCTATTTAAATAATGATATTATGATAAATTTCTAGACTAATTATTTGCTAAAAAAGCGACGATTTTATCTTCTGTAATTGATTTTCTTTACTCATGATCTCATATTTGGAAAATTCTTCTGGGTGCATCGACTTTAGATGATTTTTAAAGAAAAGGTGGTTCGGCCCTTGCGAGAGTAGTTTTTATTGGATACTTTACAATCAGTCTTATCAAGGTCCTCTTCATTTGGTTCAAAATAATTTCAAATATTACTTTGTGTCGGTGGTGACATTATTAATTAACGTGTAAGATAATTTAACAATAACGGGAACCTCACTAGATAAATATAGAAAATTGTTTTAAAATGATAAGCTTTACCTACAGTAAAACGTATTAAACGTATTACCATAATGGCATTTACCTGACGATTTCCCAATAAACAATTATTTAAGTACACACAATGATCCACACAACAAGTAATCCACAGCGCAAACAAACATGTTATGATTTATTTACAATAAACAAACAATGCACCACAAGAAACGCGTCGGAACTTGTTCACCATGTTTTCGCTCCCATTGGTATTTGTCACGTGCAAACGGTACGCGCCATTGCTGGCCCCGTTCATTTCTTTCTTGTCACAACTTGTATTACATTCGCATCCGCATGAAAATCCGCATCGATTATTGCGGATGCGGATGCGGATGCAGAAGTCAAAATCTATGTGGAAGCTCCGCATTTGCGGATGCGGATGCGGATATTCGCAACATCCCTAGTATGTATGTATATATATGTATGTATATATATGTTTAATTTTATGTATATATACTTACATAATGTTTATATATGTAAATATTTATACGTTTATATATGTATGAGTTTATACATGTGTATATATGTATATATGTATTGTACATACTTCTTATTACACCTACCTCTTTTATCTCTGCACTACTCTAAGGTAGACTGGTAGATAATGCCTCAGGCATTAAGTCCGCCTATATACATCTAATGTATATATGAAGTTAAATAAATAAATAAATATATCTGAAACCTTTTGTAGGTCATTTAGCATCTATACATGCAACAGTTATAGTAGAAACGACTTTTTGCCATTACAATTGATAAAATAGGTAATATAGGTACATAATATATATAATTTTTAAATTACATTAAAATTTTTCAACTATTTCTCCTACAATTAAACAAACTAAACACTAAACAAAAACTATTTCAATAAGTATTTACAAAAAACTATTTACGTAAACAGTGTTAAAAAACTTTAACATTCAATCACCTACAACGTACCTATATTAGAAAGTACTCTGTGCTTATAACGCGCTTGCCCCGACTGTGTATGTTACCCTGGGTGCCTTGCGATTGTGAGTAATTATTTCACGCAGTTAGCAACAGTGACAGAGGGCTGACCAAGGTCCCTCTCTCCTCCAGTTTGTGTAGCTACACTGTCCTGGTTACATACTCAGGTTAATTGCAGATTGTTATTTAGCTGAAGCTTTATTATGTAATTGCTTGTTGTCTTAAAATAAACAAAAAGCCACCATATAGTGGTGGTGTACAAATATCCACTACCCCATTTCGTCCTGTACGTCGTGGGTGTCTTAAGAGTTGATAGATGGAAACTGAAACAGGAGATGAGTAGCAGCATCTTCCTGAATAAATATCAAAATAATAAAAACACTAATGTTGCCTACCAGCCTGCAAAGCATGGCTACTATGGAAAAGTCTCCTCTATGAGGCAATAATAGGGTAGGCCTATGTTCAGCCGTGAACTTTTATAGGATGTAATGGATGCATGGATGGATGAACAGACAGAAAACAACATTTTTTTAAATGATGATTCATGTCTTTATAACTTGGAAACAATCACCTGAAGTTAAGAGTAACCAGATATTTTGTTAGAACTGATAGATACTTTAATGTTTTATAATAAATACTGCTATTAGTGCAACCTACCTGCCAATGACCATGTCTCAACGAAAGGAGGCCCATGTTCAGCTGTGGACGACTGTTATGGATGTATAGATGAAATGGATATAATTGCTTGTTATTTTTAAAATAAAAATATTTAAATTTGTAGTTGCTCATGGATTAAAGATATATTAAATAACATAATATGTACATCTATTAAGATGTATATTTTTTTTATAGAAGAGGGGGCAAACAAGCATGCCGCTCACCTGATGTTAAGTGACTACCGCCGCACATGATCAACCGCAACACCAGAGGAATTGCAGGTGCGTTGCCGGCCCTTTAGAAAGGAGTAAGCTCTTTTCTTGAGGGTGGTAGACTATTCCACAGAGAGGTTGTACGCGGAAGAAAACTTCTTTTGAAATGTACTGTGGTGAACCGCCAAGCACCCGGATGGTGTGGATGGTATCGGGACGTTTGTCGCGTAGTGCGTTCACGAAATTTGGCGGGTGGGATTAATCCGAACAATTCCTCAGAGCACTCTCCATGGTATATGCGAAATAAAATGCAAAGAGATGCATCATCTCTTCGCAGTGCCAGTGAATCGAGTCGATCGGAAAGCACTCGGTCGTCGACGATTCGAGCCGCTCTGCGCTGGATGCGGTCAAGTGGAAGGAGCTGGTACTGGAGAGCCCCAGCCCAGAGATGGGAACAGTATTCCATGTGCGGCCGAACCTGCGCCTTGTAAAGTTGCAGGCGGTGTGCCGGCATGAAATACTGTCCCGCTCTGCTGAGCACGCCAAGCTTTTTAGAGGCCAATTTGGCCTTCTCTTCCAAGTGACCACGAAACTGCACGTCACTCGATATGTCAACGCCGAGGATTCCGATAGTGGCTGAGGCAACAAGGGGAGTGCCTTGAAACTGAGGAGATACGACAAAGGGGTTCTTTTTAGCGGTTAACGCGCAAACTTGTGTCTTCTGGGGGTTAAACTGGACTGGATTTAGTCGCCCCCAATCCGAGACTCTGTTTAGCAAAGACTCGACTCGAGAAGACAGACACAAGTTTATCCCGGCACTCGGAGACGTTTTCCCGAGAAATATTGGCTCGGCCGGTGTAAAGAGCATCACCAGTGCTGTCATCTGCATAGCAATGAATGTTACGGGTTTGCAACATATCATTGATATGCAGAAGAAACAGCGTTGGCGATAGCACGCAGCCTTGTGGAACACCAGCATTAATAGGCTTACATCATAGATAACAGCTAATATTCCATTCTTATATTTATTTTAAACATTTTCAGTTGGATGCTACATTTGCTGCATTAGTTGACTTCCTGTGGATGGCATATAATGTAAGTAGTACACAAAATTTATATGAAGTTTTTCCTTATAACTCAATGACATGTTAATAAGAAATTGCGATTGCAATTTCTTTGGAATTGTCTTTGGAAGACAAAAGGTCTTCCTCATAAATTTTGGGAATTTATGAGGAAGACCTTTTGTCAGTGGTAAAGTTTTGATAGTCTGTATGAATGTTAAATGAATGGTATATATTATACAGGGTTATTTTTCACAGAGTAGCCAAATTTTATATTTAAGTTCAAATATATAAATCATGATACACTGTTATTGCAGTTTTTGAAAATATGAGTTATACACTCATATTTTCTACATTTAGATGAAATTATCCCAAATTGAATGTGATTTATGGGCAACAACTATGCGTACGCGCGCTCCTCTGTGTGCAACTGAATGAGCCTTACGAATGTGTGCGTGCGTATTAAAATAGTAGGCGTTAGATATTTATGAATGACAATCAGTTAAAATAAGTGCTTTACCACATATTCTAAATTTAAGTAGTAAAAAAGGACAAAATGTTTGAGATTTTTTTATAATTATTCTGAACCTTCTCTGCAATTTTGGCCGTATGTTGCAAAATAACCCTGACAGTCTAACGTGAAATGTAAAAATTTCAAGTAAACATTATTAAAGGGTTCTGTAGACTTACCTACTTTATAACGTTAACCTTTCTGAAAATTATGGACTCTTGAAATACTATAAGAGTCTATAATATGTTATAGTTACTATAATATAGTATATATTAAATTAATTGATTTTTAGCTAAATTACTGTAAAATATGGAGACAGTACAAAATATCATCATAGATAATATAGTTAACTTTTTTTATAGAATAAGGGTGACAAATGAGCACACAGTCCACCTGATGGTAAGTGGATGCTGTGGCCCATAGACTGTCTTCAATTAAGAATCAAAATGCAGATGCGTTGCCAGCCCTGAGGACTGAGATGGAATGCCTCATTTCCAGTAAAAAGGATCTCCGGTTCTCTACATTCGCCATATGAAACATAACAGCATTAAGCTGCTATTTTACGCTGGTATTATGTGAGAGCGTGGTCCTTCCCCGGTCGAGCCGACCCATTCGTGCTGCAACCACAATACAGCTGCAGCATGGCTCTACCACGTAAAAAAACTGTTGAAAATAAAGACAGTGAAATTTCATTTGGATATTAAGTAGTATTCTTTCATACATCATCAGCGCGTAAGTCTACTGTTGCGCATAAGCCTCTTCCATTGTAGAGAGTTTTTTTATTGTTTTTATTTTTAGTTTTAGAATCTTAACACTGGCATTTTCTCCTGTATCGTGGAGATAGTGTACAAACATAAATTGGTATTCGAACCCGCGGCCCTGGACGCCATAACTCATTTTCTAACCCGGTACGCCACGGAGCCGTCGCCTTGTCGTGTTTGGCAAGCGGATTGACGATCGCAGTATCAGATGTCTCGAACTGACGTAAACAAAATGATGATTGGCCTTGTAGTAGTAGAGTAAGAATATCCCCCTACTTCATATCGGGTGGGTGTCGTAGGAGGCGAAATAGAGAAACTGAAGCAGCAGACAGGCAACAGCTTCTCCCTGATATCAACTCAATAATAAAGAAAGACGGAGTCTTCCTAATAACAAAGCTAACCCGCCTGCAAAGCGTGGCAACTATACCAAATATAACCATTATGAGGCAATCTATGTAGAAGGCATATCTTCAGCAGTGGACTCTGATAGGTTGATGATGATGATGATAATGTAAGCGAGGTGGTTATATCGTCATCTACCTAAAACCACAAGATCTTTCTCATATTCCTTTATTAATTCTTACTATAATAATAACAAACGGGATAATGGGATATAACAGGACGAACGAACTAGTACTAGGCAAGCATATATTTGCAAGAGGCTGTAGGATAGTTCTGGTTTACATTTTGTAGACTTATACTACTTTTATTAATTTCTGTACGCATAGCATAAACTTAGTATACCTCAAAACTTGAAAACGATAGCAGTCCAGTTGAATATTTTAATCAGTACCTAAATACTTTATATTATTTTTATCATAAGGATGTTTAATAGGCAGGAGATGGGCAGCAGCGTCTTCCTGATGACAACTGTGACGTAATAAAAAACTGCGGTTGCCAACCCGCTCGCCAAGCGTGGCAACTATGGCAAATACCCCCCAATGAACAAATACACAAACAGACGGCCCCCAGTCCCCGGCGGCCCCGCTATTCCTGGCTACGGTGGCGACCATGGTAACGGCGGGGCAGGGGGTGCTAAGAATCTCCGGTGGAGGTTCGGTTGCCACCTACGACGACTCGACCTGGCAACATATAACGCACGCACCCTGAGGACTGACGAGAAGATACTGGAGCTGGAAGAAGAGGTAGACAAGTTGCGCTGGCATATTATTGGATTATCCGAGGTCCGAAGAGAGGGGGGAGGACACGGCAATCCTCGAGTCCGGCAACTTGTTCTATCACCGGGAGGGCGACCATCTGTCCCAAGGAGGTGTCGGATTTATCGTCCACAAATCTCTCGTCAACAACGTTGTAAAGATTGGGAGTGTGTCGACGAGGGTCGCGTACCTGATACTCAGAATCACCAAACGGTATTCGCTGAAGGTCATTCAGGTTTACGCACCAACCTCGGCACATCCCGATGAGGAGGTGGAGGAAATGTATGAGGATATTTCCAGAGCCATACATTCCTCCAGAACCTACTACACGGTGTTGATGGGAGACTTCAACGCAAAACTGGGCACAAGAGAAAGCGGTGAGCTGAAGGTAGGGAAATTTGGAGTAGGGCAACGGAACCGAAGGGGCCAGCAGCTGGCCGACTTTATGGAGAAAGAGGGACTCTTTATGATGAACTCTTTCTTCCAGAAGCGGCCCCACAGGAAGTGGACCTGGTCGAGCCCCCGACGGTTCGACAAAAAATGAGATTGACTTCATTATGACGACCAGACGCCAACTGTTCAGTGATGTCTCAGTGATCGCAAGGGTGAAAACTGGCAGCGATCACCGAATGGTTAGAGGCACACTGAACCTAAACGTTAAGTTGGAGAGGTCTCGTCTAATGAAGTCAACGCTCCGTCCCCCTCGTGCTCTAATCCAGAATCCCGAAACCTTTCAGCTCGAGTTACGTAACCGCTTCCAGTGCCTAGAAGATTGCAATGCAGTGGACGATATGAACGACAAGCTCGTGGAAACTGTCCATGCGGTCGGAGCTAAGTTCTGTAAGACCCGCCGCAGAAGAACACAAAAACTCTCCGATCACACTCTTAATCTCATGGCTGTTAGACGGGAGATGAGGCTGCAATCGTCAACAGATTTGACAGCATACAGGCAACTGAACAGACAGATCTCCAAATGCATACGGCGAGACTTACGCAACTTTAATACTTCTCGTATTAAAGAAGCGATCGAGCGGAACCAGGGCTCCAAAGTCTTTGCCAGAGATCTGTCTGCCAGAAAGAGCCAACTGTCAAGGCTGAAGACTGAGTGTGGCAACATCGTTTCCGGGACACCTGAGATTTTGAGTGAGATTGAGAGGTTCTATGGGCAGCTGTACACATCATCGTTGGAGCCACACGCAAGTGTGAGTAACGATCCAAGAGCAAGTCTTATCCGACACTATTCCGATGATATCCCGGACGTCAGTCTAAGCGAGATTAGAATGGCTCTCCAGCACCTTAAAAACGGCAGGGCCCCAGGCGAGGATGGAATTACAGCGGAGCTTCTGAAAGCGGGTGGAACACCGGTACTTGAAGTCCTTCAGAAGCTCTTCAATTCCGTCCTCCATGGTGGCACTACTCCAGAGGCGTGGAGCAGAAGTGCGGTGGTCTTGTTCTTTAAGAAAGGCGACAACGCTCTCTTAAAGAACTACAGACCGATTTCCCTTCTGAGCCGCATCTACGTGCTGTTTTCGAGAGTCATTACGAATCGTCTCGCACGCAGACTTGACGACTTCCAGCCTCCCGAACAAGCCGGTTTCCGAAAAGGCTTCAGTACCATAGACCACATACATACCCTGCGGCAGATTGTACAGAAGACTGAAGAGTACAATCTGCCACTTTGCCTGGCGTATGTGGACTATGAGAAAGCCTTTGATTCCGTCGAAATTTGGGCGGTGCTACAGTCCCTTCAGCGGTGCCAAGTTGACTGTCGGTATATCGAAGTACTGAAGTGTTTGTACAGTAGGGCTACGATGGCTATCCGAGTACAGAACCAGAGCTCGAAACTCTATCCAACTGCAGAGAGGTGTAAGACAGGGTGACGTTATATCCCCGAAACTCTTCACCGCTGCATTGGAAGACGTTTTCAAGCTACTGGACTGGAAAGGATACGGTATTGACATCAATGGCGAGTACATCACTCACCTTCGATTTGCCGACGATATAGTCCTTATGGCAGAATCGCTGGAGGACTTAAGCACTATGCTCAATGACCTCAATAGTGCCTCCCAACGGATAGGTCTTAAGATGAACATGGACAAAACAAAGATCATGTTCAATGTCCATGTCACACCTATGCCGGTAGTTGTTGGGAGCACTATGCTCGAAGTTGTTGACGAATACGTTTACCTGGGACAAATAGTCCGACTAGGTAAGTCCAACTTCGACCGAGAGGTCAATCGACGGATTCAACTCGGCTGGGCAGCGTTCGGGAAATTAAGACACATCTTCTCGTCCGGTATACCTCAATCTCTGAAAACTAAAGTGTACAACCAGTGCGTGTTGCCAGTGATGACTTACGGATCAGAGACGTGGTCCTTCACTGCTGGCCGTATGAGGACGCTCAAGGTCGCTCAGCGAGCTATGGAGAGGGCTATGCTCGGAGTTTCTCTGCGTGATAGACTCAGAAATGAGGATATCCGCAGTAAAACCAGAGTGACCGACATAGCCCAACGGATTAGTAAGCTGAAGTGGCAATGGGCCGGCCATATAGCTCGAAGAACCGATAACCGATGGGGAAGAAAGGTTCTCGAGTGGCAGCCTCGTACCGGTAGGCGTAGTGTAGGGCGACCCCCCACTAGATGGAGTGACGACCTGGTAAGACATGCAGGAAGTCGATGGATGCAGGTGGCTCAGGACCGTGCTTTGTGGCATTACTTGGGGGAGGCCTATGTTCAGCAGTGGACTTGTGAAGGGCTGTAATGATGATGATGATGATGATGTTTAACGGGACAAAATAGGACAATAGGTTTATTTTTAGTCTTCATCATCATCATTACAGCGCCTCACAAGTCCACTGCTGAACACAGGCCTCCCCCAAGGAATGCCACAAAAAGCGGTCCGGAGCCACCTGCATCCATCGACTTTCTGCATGTCTTACCAGGTCGTCACTCCACCTAGTGAGGGATCGCCCTACACTACGCCTACCGGTACGAGGCTGCCACTCGAGAACCTTTATACTTCATCGGTTGCCGGTTTTTCGAGCTATATGGCCGGCCCACTGCCACTTCAGCTAACTAATCCGTTGGGCTATGTCGGTTACTCTGTTTCTACTGTGGATATCCTCATTTTTAAGTTTATCACGCAGAAAAACTCCGAGCATAGCCCTCTCCATAGTTCGCTGAGAGACCTTAAGCGTCCTCATACAGCCAGCAGTGAAGGACCATGTCTCAGATCCGTAAGTCATCATTGTCGTAACTTCCCGAATGCTGCCCGGCTGAGTTGAATCCGTCGATTGACCTCTCAGTCGAAGTTGGACTTACCTAGTCGGACAATTTGTCCTAGGTTAACATACTTGTGAACATCTTCGAGATTAGTGCTCCCAACAACTACCGGCATAGGTGTGACATGGACATTAAACATGATCTTTGTTTTGTCCATGTTCATCTTAAGACTTATATGTTGGGAGACACAATTGAGGTACTCCAGCGATTCTGCCATAAGGACTATATCGTCGGTAAATCGAAGGTGAGTGATGTACTCGCCATTGATCGATCGCCATTATCATTTCCAGTCCAGTAGTTTGAAAACTTCTTCCAATGCAGTGGTGAAGAGTTTCGGGGATATAACAGTACCCTGCTTTACACCTCTCTGCAGTTGGATAGGTTTCATACTCTGGTTCTGTACTCGGATAGCCTACTGTACAAACACTTCAGCACTTCGATATACCGACAGTGAACTTGGCACCGCTGAAGGGACTGTAGCACCGCTTAAATTTCGACGGAATCAAAGGCTTTCTTATAGTCCAAATACGCCAGGCAAAGTGACAGATTGTACTCTTCATTGTTTTCTGTACAATCTGCCGCAGGGTATGTGTGTGTTCTATGATACTAAAGCCTTTTCAGAAACCGGCTTGTTCGGTAAGCTGGAAGGCGTCGAGTATGCGTGCGAGACAATTCGTAATGACTCGAAAACAGTACGGCTCAGAAGCGAAATCGGTCTGTAGTTCTTCAAGAGAGCGTAATCGCCTCTTTTAGCCTTTATACTTTTTTTTTGATGCTACTACACGTGTCCGGTCTGGGTAATTTGCATCAGTCCACTGTGCATGTGTTTTCTATCGTATCGCTATTGAGTGACTGTATAACAAAACAGTTCCATTTCCGTCCGCTAGGAGCGCTGTTTAATATTACGGCGATACGAAAACGTCAAAAACTTATACTAAGGACACAGATCTCAAGGAGGTGGTAATAGCGTCATCTATTGGAAACCATGACGTCTTCTTGACATTCCCCTCACTCCTGACTTCTGACAGCGAAGAGATAAGATGTAGTTACGAATTTTCTTAAATTCTGAAATATGGGTCATTATTTTTAATTATTGTGATGCCTTGTTAATTTCAGATTTACTGTTGGCTGTGTGTCCTATCGCAATATCAGATAATATTGGAGATGCAGTCGCCGAATATTGAGATCTTAGTAGAGTACTAACAGTGAGTTTACTTCAGTTTAGTATTTTAAACAGTGTTAAGTTTTGAAACTTAAATGAATGCATTCTATGATTATTTATGGAAAAAGCTATCCGTCCAGATTATATTTAACTCAGTTAAGACTGATTCAACAAACTAAAAGGCAGCAGGATCCTATTTACAGATATGCATTTAAATATGGTGTAGATGTGATAAAGACATATTGCCATTTATTTGGAATCGGCTGATTTTATCTGTTGTATATATTAAATCTCATAATTAAAGTTATATGTCTCACAAAACTGCCCACCGATAAAATAAATTTATCGGAAATAAAGTGTTTTTAATATAACATTAATGTGTGAATTGGAAAAAAGAATGTGTATTTATTTATATTATTTGATATTGATATTTATAAAAGTTAATTTTTTCTTTCTATGTTCTATAATAACGTCTTTAATTTTATCAAACATCTAATAAAAATATTGCAGAAATTTGTAATTTGAATATTTTACAGTTGTTATATATTTATTTTATTTTGATTATATTTACTATCTTCATATATCTTATTTCCTAAAAGTATTATAAACCTTTTATTTTTCTCATAATATATAGTTATAATCTTAATTGGATATACTTAGTTTAAAAAACGATATCTAACTCTTAAGATAAAAATGTAACCAAACTAACCTTAGTATACTTTCATTTAAAACCAATTTGAGCAAAATTGAAGTTGATATTAAGCTAAGTTACATACAAATTGAACCATAATACCAACCCTGTTCTTCAAATGCTAGTATCTTAAAAATAACTCGAGGAAATTGGATCTTTTTTGTTTAACTAAGTCCAGTTATAATTATTACAAATAGGAAGATTTTATTTTCATATAAGTATAGTTTATTATATTTATGATTATGTTTTAAATTAACATTTAAATGTAAGTTAGTGACTTTTTTGTTTTTACTGTCCGTCCGTGTCTTAAAAAAATAAAGAATTTATAAAAATAGGCTACTGGAGGTGTAATATGATTACAATTGTTAGCCGTTTTAGTTTTATTAAGAAAGATTCAGTGGCATATATACTTGATTTACTAAAATTGTTAGTGTGTAAGTACTTTTTTATTAACATTGTGACCTAGCCGCATTTTTGTTATTGTATTTGAGTAACACTATTTTCAACCGATTTCAAAAGACGAGGAGGTGATTATTTCGACACCGAACGATAATGAACTTTTTTCTATGTGAATCTATTTTGATGACAATTTTCTTATTTGAAGCTTTTGCTTCTCATGCTCTCTCATTCTCATGCATTTTATTTAAGATTGTTCTTCTCATGTGGTCCCATAAAAATTTGATCAAGATCTGACCAGAAGTTTTCGAGTTATACTGAATAATGCGCATTAAATACACTTCGACTACATTGATGATGTTCTATTTTTATTTATATTGAAGTCGGTTGTACAAATTTTTTAATTTTACCACTTGTACTTTATTTATACCAATAAATAAGAAATTATACATTTTTATTACATACATTCTTGTAAATGATTATTTAGTAATGTAATTATGTATCTTTCTTAGCCATAAACATGTTAATGTTTTATATTTTGTACTATGTAAGTTATTAGTATTGTAAGGTAAAGTGACGTTAGGCGATATAACTAACTATTAATATTATTAACATACCAACATATCATAAATATATTAGTTTGTGAATGATATTATGTGCAAAACTGCCCGACAAAGAATCTTAATATGTATTAGCAGGTGTCTTAGACGTAGTTTTTGTCTTGTAATGTATTTTTTTAAGACTACGAATGTTAAAAAATGGATATGACATTTTAAGTGCAATTATAAAAAGTTTTAGTTTAAGATTTTGTACTTTATTGCAGAAGAAAATTCTGTATTTAAAAATTACGTCGCTTATAATCAGTATGACAACAATACCTAAAGAAACTTATTACATACTTCAAATTTCTACTTCACATCTTTATAGCAGTAGCTAGTTAGTAAAATGCCATTGTTTATTTCGCCTATCACTTTAACATTACGTTATTCAAAAATAAAATTCATAAAATACTTATCCGCTTGTAATTAAATTTGTTGTAATAAAAATTTATGCTTTGTTGCGTGACTCATATATACCTCGTGAATAATTTGTGAATACAGTATCGACTCGAGAACCATTCTTCCCCATCGGTTATCGGTTCTTCGAGCTTCGGATATCCTCATTTCTGAGTCTATCACGCAGAGAAACTCCGAGCATAGCCCTCTTCATAGCTCGCTGAGCAACCTTGAGCGTCCTCAAACGGCCAGCAGTGAAGGACCACGTCTCTGATCCGTAAGTCATCACTGGCAACACGCACTGGTTGTACACTTTAGTTTTCAGAGATTGAGGTATACCTGACGAGAAGATGTGTCGTAATTTCCCGAACGCTGCCCAGCCGAGTTGAATCCGTCGATTGACCTCTCGGTCGAAGTTGGACTTACCTAGTCGGACTATTTGTCCCAGGTAAACGTACTCGTCAACAACTTCGAGCATAGTGCTCCCCACAACTACCGGCATAGGTGTGACATGGACATTGAACATAATCTTTGTTTTTGTCCATGTTCAAAAAATGTTCAAAAAAAATATATTGTATATACATATTATGTTGAGTAATTTCTTAACTAAAACTTATCAGATAACCGTTTGTATGATGATATTGTGAATATATGAACATGTCAGCTGACTATATCTCGGTGGGAAGATTGTCAGCTGATGCCCTGAAGGGTGTAACACATGAGCCAGACAGGAGCATCTGTCGTCTATTTAAATACACCAGCTGACGAGGTTTCTCTTGGCATATTGCTAGCTGATTTTTTATTACAGAATCATGTCTATCAGCTGACACATTTTTATATAGAAGGAAATGCAGCTTTTTTATCTATCGCTTCTCATTTTGACAACTGTCAAAGTTATAAGTGATAAGTTATTATAATATCCTACATAAGCGCTGCAATATTTTACCTACTCGGTGCCTCGAAGATGGAACTTTGCGCGTCGTTCGAAAAATATTATGTTTTCTCAGAGGTGAAACCTATGTAGTTTAAATAAAACGTAACCTACTGACAAAATTTCATCCAAACTTTTACAGCGCTTTTTTAGAAACCAATAAGTATAGGATTATTAGGCAAAGTTTGAAAATATACAGTTGTGAGAGATTGAGTTTAAAACATCGTCGGTGAACTCAGTTTTGTTTCTGTAAGTAGTAAGATTCAAAACATTCCAAAATGATGAGAAAAAAATTTGAATCAATTTTAAAATAAAAAATTTGTGAAATGAGTAGATTATTTTACTAACTGGTGATATGATGTACCTAACTACAAGATACCAAATGAGTAGTAGTAGTACCACAAGCGAGTACCACAAGCGAGTACCACTCTTGGTTCGACTATAATTTTGACGCTGCAATAATGCAGAGTTTGGCAATAGTTTATTTTTACGAATAGCGTAACCACAGATGCTACAAAACACTAGTACTCAAGTATTTGATTGGGAATTTGGATTATTATATAAATTAGTCTACACTTACTACTTTATTTACCTTTAATTTGAAAATTTTTCATTGTATTCATTATATACATTTTTCATCTTAAAATGTATTGTTAAGTGCCTGATAGAAATGTAGTTACGTATTAGACTGCAAATATACTTAGTCAAGTAATAATTATATAATGATGAGTCATTATTATATAATGACTCATTATTATATAATTAATTTTGGTCAGCAATCTTTATTAAATAAATTATGGAAAATTATTGTTGAAAACAACTGACATTTTTTTAAATTTACATTGAGGGTTTCGTGTAAAAAGGAAACTGAGAAAAGTTTTTTCTTCAGAAGGATTATTAAAATGTAAATTGGTATTTATTCAACCCAAATATCTAACTCATTGATAATTCTTTTTAAAATATAATACTGAAGACTAAACGAACTTACAGTCCAACTAATAATGCGTCGAATGCAGTCCATGGCTTTAATCTAAACTCTAAAGTTTACTCACCTACTCACATGCATCTCGATTGTATTAAATGCAATTAACCTTTATCGATGCAAATAAAGGCTTATATTTTATTATCACTTAATAATTCATAAATTAATCACATTAATTTTAGTAATAAAACCCAACGAAACTAAGAAATATTGTTCGAATCAGAAAAAATGAATTGAATATTTTAAATGTAATAAGAGATTATATATGTATTATAAATAGTATAGTGTATTTTTGTACCTTACTTTGATTATCTTTTAAGAATTTAAATCTGAAAATCAAGCTGGGTTATTTTCGCAATAACTTTTATCTTAAGTGCTTAAAGTACAGTTTCAACTAATTGTTTAGAATAAGCTTTAATTTTTTAATCCGTCCAATACTATCGCCCAATTTATACACCATTTTTATTTCACCATTTAATATATACATGATGTATGTGCAAATATAAATTTATATAAAATATAATAAGTTTCATTTGTGTTGATTTTTATTATAATGTTTACTGACCAAGTTTATTTGGATTGCTTATTTAATTCCAGTGATAAGTGTATACTTAAAGGATAAAAGTGTTTATTTTACTCATAAAATGAATCTTGCAAACGCCATTTATTATGAAATTAATGAACATTTACTGTTAATTTTCGAACCTTAAAGAATGTATAGTTTGTGAATAAACACCGTGATTAATTGTGTTTTACCGTGTAATAAATTTTAATAATGATTCATATACAACACGCTGTTTTGTTATTTTCATCATGGTTTCCTGAAATTAATTTTGAATTTTATGGATTGTGGCAACACCTTTTTCCTAAATGCTGGTCCTAGAATAGTAAAGTAACTAACTAGCCGCTTACAGCTTACTGCTGATTGAATATAGAACTCCTTTATTTTTGTATTGGTTTAGGAGTAAAAAGAAACAAAGTGGAGCGCTGTACTACCCCAGCACGTGTTAGCGGCGTTTACTTGTGTCGAGTGAGCGCGGTGTTTC